CACCGATGCTCGAGTTTGAAGAAGCTGCAAACCCAGAGGCTGCAGTATACTCTTCAATTGTCCCTACCGCGCATACTGACATGCGAGTGCCCCATGGTGTGAGGCATTCAGCTGTAATGGTGCAGGTAAAGAGGAAACGAGCGATAGAAGTGGTGGACATCACAAGAAAGGAAATGAGGAGAGTGCTTGAGTGGAAGGAGTACCAGATAGATCTCCACAAGAAAGAGATAACCAGCATTTCGGCAAATGAACAGCAGTGAAGTTCAAGCATTTGTAGAGGATGACGGCGCTAAGCCGCTAACTGTCACCTACATCACGATACACCCACAATACCAGAACCAGCAACAGAAGGATAAACTCCTGGACCAGCTGGCCAAGGAACTCCACACAACCAGTAAGTACCCTCATTTTCCATGTGTTGCTGTGTACATTTTATTTGATAAACATAAGCCAATGTAGTAAGTGTGAAATGAAACAGTGTATTAAATGATGATATATCAGAATGTTGCATGGATTATCGGTGGATTACTAATGGCTTCTAAGAAGCCTGAGATCCATGTGAATGCAATTGCATTGTCTGCTGACAAGGTTAATTGATGTCATATGTATGTCGGTGCAATGACCCTAATTTTTGTATGCCTCTGCCACCGGAAGTGGTACCAGAGGCAATTTTTTATTTATGTATTTATTTATTTTTGTTTTGTTTTTTTGTTTGGGGGGGGGGGGGGGGGGGTTGTCCGTCCGCTTTTTAACCCGGCTTTCTGTCATATATTTCCTGTTGTAATTTCTATGTCCATTTCATACAGATCTCTGTGCAAGGGCCTAAAAGAAATGTTGGCAGATGAGGAGGTGTTTGGTGAGGACGAAGAGGGAGAGGAGATGGAGGTCACCTGCTCAGGACTGCACCATAAGATTACCTCGCCAGATACTGCGGCCAACACCAAGCTCTACATTGTAACCGGGAGCATGCTGCAGTATCTGGCTTAGCTGGCCATTCCAAAATGCAAGAAGTGCCACTTGAAGAACTCAGTATGTGTCACTGAAAGTGGCTCCTAGGCACATATTGTCTGGGTAATTATGTTTCATTGTTCATTTGATGCATGAACTGATGATTATCAGTGTGAAGCTGTTCAACGATTGATTTTTCATTCATTATTATCCCTTTCAGTTTCATGAGCTACTTCTTAAATTAGTAATTTTTTTAAATTTCAGTTATTATATTCATTCAGAAAATATTGTTTTGAGTACATCAGTCATGACATTACTAATAGCCATTGAATTACAAACACTAAATTTTACCAAGGCACTAACATTTAAAATTACTTATGCCTGTTATTTCCCCCTAATGATATAATGTCAGTGAAACATCATATGGGGTTGTCAGTTTAGGTGTTTTTTTCTATACTGCAATTCGATAAATTCAGTTCTAAGCAGCATCAAATTCAGTTCTGTTTTTTTCCTATTGCAGACCTGTGAAGGAGGGCATACAGTTCGCGTTTGCATGCAGGAAACACATAATGGCTCTCATGTTGGCAACATGAAAAGTGACTACGTTAATTCTCCTGTTGGGAAATAATTTCCTAAAGCTGAAGCGGGTAGCTGATTTTATGAAACTCCACATGTTTTCTTCCAGGTTGTTTAATGCTGTTCAGAACAACTATGTGTGCCCCGTCATCGAACGACAGTTCAAAAAGATGATGACAGAAAACGGAGACAGGCACCAAGAACAGGACAATGTTGTATGTGGTAAGTGGCAAATAGCCTGGGCATTGCATCAATAGGACAACACATTTTGAGATTCCATGATAATCCATAATTGCATGTCGTGGCAAAATCAAATCAAATTAAATCAAATATTTTGTGTGCATCTGTTTACAACACTTCACCATTCCCTAACATTCTGAATCTGCAGTCCATCAGGCTATGGGCTGGATCCTGCATATGTCTAATTCTATTGAAATATATTTTTGGACACTTAAAAGTAATAGTTGAATGAAAAAGTAGATGAGTGTTAATGTAAATGATATTTCCAAATGACTAATTATCTTATATCTTCCACAATCCTTCTGTCTCCCAGGCGATGCTTGTAATGACTCACCAGGCTTCAATGCACAATACTGCACGTATACCTCGATGGACCATAAATCAAAAGGTTTGTATGTGTGTGTGTGTGTGTGTGTGTGTATGTGTGGGTTTGGTGACTGAATTATATTTATAAGCAAATTTGCTTCTTTGTGGTCCTGATCATATATTTGCTTAGTATTTTGAATGTTTTATGTATTCTATTTTCTATTGTATGTTTTGCTTCTACATGTATACATATGTTTAATAAAATTCAATTCCATTCTATTCAAGATATTGTTGCAGCGGAATTTGTCGACAAGCGTGAGGTCGGGATAAGAGTGGCGCCATGGAGCCAGCTGCCGTACTCAATGCCCTCAACGCTCTGAAGAGCAACAAAATTAAGGTGGCAGAGTTGGTGACAGACGCCCACCCCACTATCTCATTCATCCTCAGTAAGTATATATTTCTTAGTTTTGGGGTTTTTGGAGACAGTGTATTTTCATTCATCTGACCATGGAATGTGTTTACATGTTATTTCTTATTTAATTCCTTAAACTTGAATTTTTATAAAATGTTTGAATGGTTCTAGATGCTTCTAAATTTCCCATAACTGTAACTGCAAGATAGTGAATGTAATGCTTGTCACAAGTCTTAACTTTGGTTTTTGTTGTACTTTACAGAGAGAGACTACCCAGAGGTGACCCACAGCTAGGATGTGTGGCACGGGACCAAGAATATTGGGAAAAAAATCTCAAAGGTGAGTTAACTGATCATAATTTGCTCTATTTTATTAATAATAGTAATATGACTGCCATCATGACCCATGACATGACCCATCGCAATCGTGTTTTGTCAGCATTCAAAGACAACTTTTTGCGTACACGCAGAGAAGCGGGTAAAGTATTAATTGGATTTTACATTTTATATTTCAAGACCTTAATTGGTTCTGTTCGTCTTCCCTATTGATTTTTTAATCCAGCCATGCATGCTCCGGAGTTTCCCATAACTGTAACTGCAAGATAGTGAATGTAATGCTTGTCACAAGTCTTAACTTTGGTTTTTGTTGTACTTTACAGAGAGAGACTACCCAGAGGTGACCCACAGCTAGGATGTGTGGCACGGGACCAAGAATATTGGGAAAAAAATCTCAAAGGTGAGTTAACTGATCATAATTTGCTCTATTTTATTAATAATAGTAATATGACTGCCATCATGACCCATGACATGACCCATCGCAATCGTGTTTTGTCAGCATTCAAAGACAACTTTTTGCGTACACGCAGAGAAGCGGGTAAAGTATTAATTGGATTTTACATTTTATATTTCAAGACCTTAATTGGTTCTGTTCGTCTTCCCTATTGATTTTTTAATCCAGCCATGCATGCTCCGGAGTTTCCCATAACTGTAACTGCAAGATAGTGAATGTAATGCTTGTCACAAGTCTTAACTTTGGTTTTTGTTGTACTTTACAGAGAGAGACTACCCAGAGGTGACCCACAGCTAGGATGTGTGGCACGGGACCAAGAATATTGGGAAAAAAATCTCAAAGGTGAGTTAACTGATCATAATTTGCTCTATTTTATTAATAATAGTAATATGACTGCCATCATGACCCATGACATGACCCATCGCAATCGTGTTTTGTCAGCATTCAAAGACAACTTTTTGCGTACACGCAGAGAAGCGGGTAAAGTATTAATTGGATTTTACATTTTATATTTCAAGACCTTAATTGGTTCTGTTCGTCTTCCCTATTGATTTTTTAATCCAGCCATGCATGCTCCGGAGTTTCGTCGACTGTCCCAACAACGACCCCATCCTGAAGCCATCAGATCCTGCCAGAGCCTTGGATAAAGCCAACCAGAGAAGCGGGACACCATGAGTTACGATACTACCTGAAGTAGTCCACACACAGGCTGTGGCGGCGGTCAAGCGGAAGAGAGGAAATGACCAGCACAAGGTCTGATGTTAGAGATATTGCTTCAAAATGCTAATAGGACAGGTGTCCTACAAACCATGACAGTAGGGGATGTATCGGGGGAATACTTTTGAATGGTTGATGGAGAATGCTCTTGGATACTGTGGTTACTTTGTAGCAGAACTTGACACTGAGCAACCGTCCCAGTCGCCCCTGTCCTGCAACAAGTACAGCTTCAAGAGGTACGTGGAGGCTTTCAAGGAGTGACTTGCAGCTGTTAGTGACAAGCGGAAGACGATGCAGGAGAAGAACAAGGACAAGACACCAGGCACAACTGCTCCAAGACCACGAGCCGTGCGGAACAAGAGTCCAACGGCCAGCCTGCCTGCAATTGCTAAACTACAACAAACTGTTAAATTGGAATAGTTTGCCAGATGACATAAAACAGTGCAATACATTGAAACGCTTCAAATAAATGTATAAGGGTTATCTAAGCAGAACAAAATTAAATTGTCATTTATTATGTAGAATGTAAAATTCAAGTTGTAACTTCCTTCTTCTTATCTTCCTGTAACTGTCTTTACCTTATGTTATCTTTATCTTTCCTCTGTTGTTGTAAATGTATGTACTATGTTTTTTTTATATAAAATAAGTTTGTATCTGGTTTATGCTAAGTATTTATTTAGGGATCATTCTCATCAAGCCAATTTTAGCTTTCATGATTCCCCAATTCCTTTTATTATTTGTTGATAATGAACAAACATGTATTATTTTGATGTTTTTTTAAAAAGAGAGTGAAAATAAATAAATGAAATAAATGAAATAAATGAAAATAAAGGTAGATGTGGTATTAAACTGAACTAATAACTTCCTTTCATTTTGTTTCAATTTGAATGATTCATTTTTAGAAATTATATAATTTCCACATGTCTCAAGCATACATGATAAGTCCAGACAAAACTAGTAAGACTATTCTTTCAGACAGTTGTACTGCATTTACTTTTTTCTTTCTTTTTCCTTTTTATTTTGGTACTTACATTTAATATTGTTTGTAGAAATGATATATGTAATGATGCCATTTAAAAAAAAAATATTGACAGCCACACCTCGTAAGGAATGGACTGCTGAGATCACTGATGATCAACTGCTTGCAACAATGGAAGATTTGGAATCTCGTAAGTTAAAGTGTACTTGCACACACCTATATATCTAAGTGGCACTTCACTAAAGCCAACATCAATTCTCTTGAAAAATAAGTTTGACGATTGCTTCTTTTTTGGTAACTAACAGAATGATTTGTCTCAAGAATTCTTTCCTTCAGCCAATAATTTACAAACTCAGCACACCATGAGGTGTAAAGAGTTTAGGAATGTTTGAGACAATGTTCCAGGCCCCGATGATCATCAGTCTCAGCCTCAGCTTCGGTGTACTCAATCTAATCAGTCGCGTGAAATTGTAACACAGAGACCTGCATGGATCAGGCAATTACAAATCCAAGAGGAGTTGCTGAGAATACAACAGGCTAAATTAATAATAGTTGAACAGAAACAAGTTCATATAAGCGAATCAATTTTGGAAGAGCTAAGGAGTATCAACAATATGCTAGCAAATAAACCCACAGCCATAGATTTCCTTAATTCAACTCAACAAGGGCGCTATTAATCATTTTCATAATTCCTGGTGAGTGACCTGCTATGTGATTGGCGAAGACAAAGAGAGCCTTTGTCTACATATTGTATGGAATCAGAGAAACAATGTGATGAGGGAGTTCCGTTGTTGTTGTTTGCTGTGCGAGATGCTGTACAAGAGTCACTTGGGTTCAGTTCTTTTGAGTTGGTGTACGGTCACTCAGTACTTGAACCATTGAAGTTGCTGAAAGAGAGAATGTTGTGTGATGATGCACAAGCAAATGTATGTGAGTACTTTCCATGAGAGAATGCATAAGGCGTGGGAGGTTGCCAGACAAAATTTGTTCGATTCTCAGGAGAGGATGAAGTCGTGGTATGACGGGAAGTCCAAAGAGAGAAATTTCGAGGTATTTGACACTACCCAACACTTCAGATTGCTCCTTGTATCTAATGTATTTATCAAATCCATATTTATTAGGAAGGATGTTCTTAACAGCTGTGTCTCAGACTGTTTAAAGTAATTGCGTGTACATGTGTTATACTTATTCCAAGATTTACAGTTTTATGAGGAAATGCATACTTTTTATTACTGTAAATATGTCCTTGTTTTTTTAAAGATGGACAACTTTAAATAAAAATTGAAGTGAGCTGAACTGAACTAAACTGAACTGAAGAGTCGTAGTCTACTCTACAGGAGCTTCAACATAATAATATAATTAATGCCAATTTGAGGAGGGAATAATGATTCATTTAGACCTTTGGGAAATGCTGTACTGCTATGGGTTAAAAATAATTTGTAATACTTATGCTTAATCATAATTAAATACTTAACTCATTTTATGATAGTTAATGTTAGTCAATAACTCTCTCTGAGATGGTGTGTGTGTGTGTGTGTACTGGTTCTATTTTTTTTTTTTAAATATATATCGTTATTTTTTTGTATACAATGTGTTTTCATCTGACATGTACACACAATGTAATAATCTGGAGGCTTCCTATTTTCAAGTGTATACTTTTTGTTGTCCTCCTTTTCGTGTTCAAACGTAATTATTTATGAATGTACAATCTGATGTTTTATCTGATGTTCAAGAATAAAATGAATTTGAATTGAATTGAATTGAAAGCAAGAGACTTGTTGATCTTTCAATTTCAAGTCACATATAGGGCCGTTCCTCAAGGCAACTTATTTATGGGATTCATGTGTACTAATCCCATGCTCACACTTTCCTTTTGACAGCTAGGAGTCTCTGTAGTTCTTCTGCAGACTCTGCTAGTAATACTGTGTCATCAGCAGATCTAATGTTTGTTATGTTGTCCCTACTAGATGTTAAATTTGTCAATTCTCTCATTTTTATCCTTTTTTTTCCTCATCATCCATGTATGTAAATTTGAATTTTTTTTCGTATGATGTGCAATACTTTGAAATTTCCATTATTATTATTTTTAATTTGTTCCTTGAACTAATTTTTGATTGTTTTCCATGTTGATGTATTTGTAATTTTTCTTTATATCTTTGAACTTTGTAATCTATGTTTGTATCAGCCTCCCGACTGTTTTAAAATGGAATTTTGACTCAATAAACCGAAATGAATCAATGAACGAATGAATTCCATTTAATTTTCTTCTAGTTATGGCAATGACCTATTCTACTGGGTGCCATGTACAAAACAACAAAGTATGCCCTGCCTCTCTTCTTCTTAGCTGTGAAGACCAATGTTGGATACAGTGTAGTGGCAGAGTTTGTGGTCCAATATGAGACGAAGGCTACTATTAAGCAAGGACTGGAGACAATACAAGATTGGATGAAGAGGGAGCAAATGAACTGGAAACCAAAACATTTCATGACTGATTTCCGTGAAAGAGAAATTGGAGCCATCAAAGAAACCTTCCCTGGTGAACGTTTTAATATTTTAGGCATTTTAGATCGTATACCCTTGTATTGTAATGTATAGTATTATCTCTTAATTTTCGGTATTCAGTTTTCATGTGCGTTTTCATGTTCAGTGGACTTGTGAGTAAATGCGTGCGACATGCAGCGACATACAGAGCTGTGTACGGAGGCTATGTGTAGATAGGCAGCATACGCTATAATGTACTTATTTATTGTTTCCCCTAACTTTTGGGTTGTTTACTGTAACGCCGTAACAAGCGCAATAAATCCAGAACAAATACGGCAAAACCATAACGGTTGGCATCTCTGAAGATGTAGCAACACATAAGGTCTCTTTTCATGGACAAGTTGTTTTGAGGACTTTACCTCTTCAAGGAAGAATAATAACTGATTCCTCGTCTTCACCCTCTCAAACAGTTTACAGTACCGGGGTAGTCCTTCTCAGGACAAAACAAGAAAGAATACCTCCCTCCCTCTCTCTACTTATCTATCCTCTTAACGACCTGAAAAGTCCTTCTGAGGTCATCGCATGCTTAACTGAAAACCTGACCAGTGCATGAACATCATCATGCAAACCCCTACCTTCAAAGTACATTTAATCTATTAATCTAGTAGTCACTATTGGCAAGTTCAATGCAGTATATAACTTTCAGATCAGAAAAAATAACGTACGGTACTGAAATTCCCCAGCTAAAAAATGAAAACAAATGAAAAAATCATTCTACAAGTTTCGCTTTAAGTACATTTATATCATTAAAGTAATGATTGATTGCTATCTGATCTACAAACATGTATAGTACTATAAAAACTTACTATAAAAAAGGCATACTAATGTATAAACTATCAGTACTAAATTACTAACACATGATAAAGAGCTCTGATAAATTAAACATAACTATAAAGGTGCAATATAAAAATAGTTTTACTTGACATCATAGTAGTCTTCATCCTCCGTAAAATACTTATCACTTGCACATTATCAGACGAAGATGAGTTGTAAACCTCTCATTGTACTGGCTGGCAGCTTCTAATACTGAAAGTACTTGGAACATCTGACCTCTGACCTTTGACCTGGGGTGTGACCTGGGGTCGTGACCTGCATCATGGTTGCTTCGTATCCTCCCTGTATGCTTCAGCGTAATCAGACCTGGTGGTGCCCCAATCCAGAAGAAGCCTGTCGGGATTGTCCTCCCACTGGCCAGGCAACTTGACCTGGGGGGGGGGGGGGGGGGGCAAAAGGACAGGAAAACAGATAAATTACAAACAGTTTCTATGCAAAACAACATTAAAATTGACATTGCGTCAACATTTTATTGATCTCAACAAAGGAAAATTTAATGTATCTTCGGCTATGATTTGTTGTAATGAGGGCAAACGACAATATTTTTTTTATGGCGACAAAGACGAATCTTTACGAGCCTTCAATGTTCTCTGTCGGAAGGAAAAGGTAAGCTCCACTTACAGTCACTGCTGGATGTTTGTATACCTTGGCTAGATGACAATGAATGATTCTAACTCTTACCTAAAGGGGGACTCAAGCTACTATCTGAGGGTAATGATGTTGTGGCTAAAAGAGGAATGGTTCAATATATACATTTTTTCTACATGAAATTAATCCCTTTTTTACTTCATGCGTAATAATAATAAATACCTTGGCATTTCTTTCGGTATCTTTGCGCTCAGTCTTCTTCTGTTTGGCTTGTTCTCGTTTCACATCTGAGCTGGCACAGCCCCATACCTTCAATCAAAAGTAATGTTTTGAGCATGATTAAAAAACAGTTCAGTTTCACTGACATTTCCACTTTTTGCCAAAGCAATTTTCCATATTTGCCATTGTTTTCAAATGCACTGATTAGTCTGAGAGATATATTGCAATTTGGTTGCTTTGCAAATTTTCTATGATTATTATCTACTCTTTAAAAACCCACATAATCACTCACAAATCACCTATTTGAATTGTATGTACACAACATCTATTTCCTTAGTCTGCCATGCTCTGTAGATATGTATCTTACAGGTGTGCAGGTCAACTGTAAGTTTTAATCATCTAGATGTATTTATTCTATCATCATTATGTCTGTGATAACTCTACGGCTTATTTTACAACAATGAATATCCATGTGTAGCTTGAACCTGCAGGTCACCTTTCAATACATGAACCTTGTGTATGTTGCTGTTCTTTGTTTTCTTTTGCAATACTGCTTACATTTTGTATTTCTATTAATAAAAAAAAAAAATGTGTTACGGGACTTGCGGGACGACACTGCTATGATCTTATATAAATTAACAATTCAGTTCAAGGTAAATAGCTGGGCATCATTAATTGAAACCGTCGCAGCTTCAAGTTCAACGACATCCCACTGAAGCACATGGTAAATTGAAAACATGTGTTTTATAAATGGGTTGTCTGCAAACTTGTACTTGGAATCAATGCTAATGGCAACATATGTTTTCTGACTGACCTCTGCATTGGTGATGTTGGCGGTCAATCCTTTATGGGTCATGGACTGAAGACCTTCTGTTATAGATAGTAGCCTCCTCTTGGGGTCTCGACCAATGAACAGTCCTTTTGGCAGGTTGCGGGATTTCTCGTTGAACAGAACCATGTACTCCCCCTCTAAAAAATGACAAGATATTATAATATGGACCAACATCCATCTGATTATTGCCAGCTGCAGTGTGCTATGAATTTCAATTTTCAATCCTTGCATATGCAATGTGTTAAACTCAAAATTATTAATTGATTGGCCAACTTGTACAAGCCCATTTCTCCATTCTAAAATATGTTTTTAAAACTGTATATCTTAAAGGCCGTCTGTACTAGCTCAGCCAGAAGGGATTAGACCACCCAGAGAGGTCACTGACAGGTTGCAATCTCATCAACTCAGCTCTCAATTAACATAAGAAAAAGAAGATCATGGGGGGACCAACAGGCACCAATTGGGGAAGTTTTCTATATAGAGGGAGCAAGTAGCTATAAGTAGTACAGTGGGGCTTAAAAACTCATTACTCTGATTTCATTTCAAATAAAGATACCGGTAGATATAATACGTTGCTAATTTGAAGATGTAAAGCTAATGCATTAAACTTTACTGCTGCTGAGAGCCAGAGAGTCACTAACTTCCATACTGGAATAAAACAGCAGGTGCATGTAAATTGAAGGAATTCTTTATCTTTTAAAACTAGAGGTGAAATGTACTTGGAGGATGTACCTTCAACAATACTGTAATCTGGAGCCAGTCGTATAGCAACACAGCTAGAACCTCCCCATGGTACTGTACCCTCTCTATGGCACAGGAAAAAATAGACACAAAAATACAGATATCAATTATTTTGGGGAATATTGCATTTACATTTATAAGCTGAAATCATCATGGACAATTCTTAGAGTGCCTGCTATATCATGGAGAAAACAAGATTTATGTGCCAGGATCACCGTTTCCCACATCCCACATCGCCTCCCCCCCCCCCCTCCCTACACCATCGACATTCAAAGTAAACATGGATATACAATTTCGCAAAACCTACACCATTTATTCTAAGCCTGTAGGTCTAAATGACATCAGTGAAACGGGACCACCACATGAACACAAAGGCGATCTATCTTTTGTCATATATATTATTGTTTTTGGAAATCACTCAAGCGCAAACTTGTGTAAAGAGTCTATGGGATGGGAAAGAAGATACTAATTCGTGTGACGAAATGAAGTGCTACTTCGCCGATCGAATGGTGGTTTCCTATATCACGATAATGCCATTTTGGCTTTTAATATCATGTACACAATCCCTCACTCACCTCCATTCAGTGTCCAAGCCCACAGCATACATGAACCCTCCTTCAAAGCTGATAACGAGTACTGTAGGTCCCTTGTAACCAAACACATGGTGCTGTAGTCTGTTCACACTCAGGCCATGTTCTCTACTGCTGTATAGCAGAGTCCAGGGCTGTTTGCCTGAAACCTGAAGGAGACCAATCGAAATAAGAGTATATTCTGAATTTATTCAAATCTTGTGTACACAATGAGCTGTATTTAATAGGTTATTTGAGGATGTTGCTAAATCTGATGAACTTTTTTCAGTGAATTGTATTGTAATTGTAATTATATTGTATCTACTTTAATATTCAAGTACTCATACTGTAAGTCTCTTGTTCATAAAATGTATGATGTTGAAGTCTGTTGACACTCAAGCCATGTTCTCTATTGCAGTACAGCAGAGTCCAGGGCATTTTGCCTGTAACCTTCATAGTAACAAGCAGATCAATCAAAATAGGGTATTTCAGTAACTGATTCAAATCTTGTTTACAGCGCTGTATAAGTAATAATAACAATAATTATTATATAATATTGGATGGCTTTGAGAGTGATACAAAAATATATTGCTCTCGCTGTGACAATAATTATAAAGTATCACACAAAAACAAAGCCATACAATATTATTATTATTATCTATATCAGGCTGACTAACAAAAAATAAAAAATATGACTCGATAATCAAGCAATATTGTATCGACAGTTGAAGTTCCTGGATGACTGAGCAATACGAAAACAATATTGATCTGTTATCCAGGTACTGCGCCAAAGATATCAAGTACACTGATTTATTGTACCACTTGGAAGCCTTATATACATAATAATAAGTTGTATTGGATAGATAAATTGGTGGTGTTGCTAGGTCTGATGAACCTCTCTCAGTGAATTGCATTGTAAGTGTAATTATATTGTATTTATCTACTTCAATACTAATAATATAAGTCTCTTGTACATAAATGTGTACATATTAATTACCTGACTTTTAGATGTTTCACTTGATGGTGTAGCTGAAGAGTTGGACTTGGGTTGGGTGTAGATGGACGGCAAACTACTGGACAGTGCCCACCACATACCGATAGAGAGTAGGGCGCCCTCATGGTCTGGTAAGGTGTATTCTGTTGCCGCTGCCGTTGCCTTTGCCTTGAATGAAGAATCAGAGACAATAAACCATGTAGATGCTATTCCCAGATTACATTTCATTTTTAACCTCTCGCCCAATTATGCAGGTTAAATTTCACACCAAAACCAATTACTATCTTTCTATAGTTTATCTATAAAAGCTGTTTTAAAGGCCGGCTGTACTAGTTTTGCTATGGTCACATTACCCAAAAGTTGCCTGCTCGGCGGCCGAGCGGCGAGTTTTTAACCAATTCTGCCCGGCGGCTGCTCGGCCACCGAGCGGCGGCCGCCCAGGCATCGCTCGTTTTTAGGGCATCGATCGGTCGCCGCTGAAGTTTTAGCGCGGAGTTAAAATTTGGGCGGCGCCTGCTCACTTTTCACTCGCCGCCCAAAATACGCTCGGTGCCTGGGCGGTCGCCGGTCGGCACCGACCTAATTGCTGGGCGATGCCTAAATTCCAGCAGCGACCGAGCAGGCTACTGATCGGTCGGTCGCTGCTCAGATTTGTGACCATAGCTTTAGGCTAGGAGGGATTAGACCAACCAGCAAGGTCATTTAAAGGTAGCTTCTCGCCAATTAATTTAAGAAACAGAAGATCATGGGGAACAATGTTCACCGATTAGGAATTGTTTTCTATATGGAGGGAGCAAGAAGCTACAAGAAGTACAGTGTGGCTTTAAAACTTAGTAGAACATGAGTGGGCAACATTGGATGCATATGCAACAATTTAAATACATGTCAACTATTCACTTGAAATGTCAGTAGTGATACTTACTGAATCTACATCATCAGAGGGGTTGACCTGGGCCACAAACCACTGGTGCATCCCCACCAGAAGCTCCTGACAATGACTCTCCATCCACTCTAGCCCTGCCCCACTGGTTTCCTTGGATACGATGGTTTGGACCAGGAGCCTCTGGGTCTCCTGGTCCAGGGGTGAAGCCTCCAGGGAAACCTCGCAGGAGACAAGGAAGAGGCTGAAGGCAGTAGACACAAGGAGCTCAACATCTGTAGATTTTTTTTTGAAGGGGAGGGGGGGGGGGGATGGAAAATGATGATACATGAAGATGGATAGTATTGTGCTATTACACTGATACAAACACAATTCACTTGAGTTCATGCATGTATAAAAATCACTCACAACTGTAACTAATAGCATTTTCAATCTTTGCTATAATTTACATATAACATTTACACATGAACCTGAATTACCTATGATGATGCCCAGTTAGTCTTAAGTCTTGTAGAGGGCCAAGGGCCATTCAACAGGCCTGTTCACGACTTCCTGATCATATAAAGCTCATCAAATTAAATTCTCACACAGGGTAAAAATTAATTCAAACTTATTACACTTCTGTTTCCAGTGGTCATTGAGTTTGGATTTTTCTTGAGAATAATGCACATCTGCAGCCATAGACAGTAAACTTGTCTTTTTAACAGTAAAGCACAGAAAGCAGCCAACGTATGTCAGTGCATGGTCAATAAAAGTAACGTGGCGTTTCACCTCATCATAGCAACCATTTGTAGAAATTAATAAACTTGTATATGATCCATCTTCAGTTGGATCTCATTGTCCCATTAAAAGTATTTTAACAATGGTGACATTGCATTAATAGGACCATACTGCAACAAACAGTCACACAATATGTACATGTATATACAGGAGGTTCAGGCCATGACATCCTTCTCCCACCACTGCCAAGATGGAAAAGAGTACTCTTTGCAGCAAATAAACCCAACCAACCCCCACCTGTTTATTACGGAGGTCATTTCAACACCCAGGGGATAAACAAGGATTCCTTTGTCCTTCACTGGACATTCCTAAAGCTACTTTTACGATGGGTTTGTTCACACTAAAATATTGAAGATTAAAGTTATTCTCGAAATTAAGTCCATAAATTTAATCAAAAACTCAAGCTTTAATATACATCTACATGTACATGTAAGCATTCATGTAGCTGTTTAGTCTACTTCCTGGACTGTTTCCATGTTGCGCACCCAATCAGCTGAGAAACTAACACACCCTCAAAGCTAAAATGGAAACAGTCCTTTCATTCTTACCCTTCCGACGGCTGGTGTATTTTCGGGGGTCATGCGCTATGTATGGGTTGCGAGTAAGGGAGGAGGATTGAATAAAAAAACAAATATACAAAAATGGACAGAATCTGGACTAGTAACTGTTTGGTTTCATGAGTTTTCTGCTTCCAACTTTTAAAGGTGCAAATCCACTCCTTTCTTCTTCAACAAATGATTCCACACATTAAAGGTAATACAAAGTTTTGGGAAATTTTAAAAATTGGGTGGATGGTGATTCTTTACAATTTTGATATATTTGGCTGCCCCTGTGGATGTATTATAAGCCCTAGAAATTTAGCCCCTAAAACATTTCTGCTTTCGAGAAATATTGAATATACAAATTTACCGGTGCTCCCGGTAAATCTTGATGAATTTCAAATAGCGCCTACGGCCGCACAATAGTAGCTGCGACCATGAAAATCTCAGAATGTGTAGTTGTGATATATATCTTCGAAATGGGAATAGCTAGTTGGTCGATTTTAGTCAAGAAACATTGTTTTATAGCTTAATTGATATCTTGACCTTGAGAGGGAGCTATACAACATAAATAGTTTATCATTTACAATTTCATAACTTTAGACCCGATTTCAATCCCGGCAACGATCACTGATGGTGGTAGGATCGCATTTGCTTCCAATATGTTCATTTGAACCAAATTCATGACCCATACCGAAAAACATTGTATTACCTTTAAGTAGGATTGTTGGCCAATATGTTCATTTGAACCAAATTCATGACCCATACTGAAAAACATTGTATTACCTTTAAGTAGGATTGTTGGCCAATATGTTCATTTGAACCAAATTCATGACCCATACCGAAAAACATTGTATTACCTTTAAGTAGGATTGTTGGTAACCCTGTAAACGATCATCGGATCGGCCGCCGATACCGATCCGATCAGGGGTGATCGGGGAAAAATTTCCGATCGCCGATCAATTAAAATGATCGGAAAAAAAATCGGCAATTTTTTTTTTTTTTTTTTTTTAATGACGAAAATTTTCAAGTTTTTGGCTGTCAAATGCTCAAAAAAAAGTTCATGGCTGGGATTATTTTGTCATTTGGAGTTGTTGTAGACAATGATTGTTGAGTGCCTTTTCATGACTTTGAAATTAATAATATTGGTCTAAAAGCAGAGGCAAAACATGCGGGCCGCCATCTTGGTCCTTGGATTATAATGCATACCTACATTATAATTCAAGATGGCGGCCTGCATGTTTTGCCTCGGCTCTTAGACCAATATTATTAATTTCAAAGTCATGAAAAGGCACTAAATATCAACAAACATGGTCTACAAGTTCAACTCCAAATGACAAAATAATCCTAGCCATGAACTTTTTTGGAGCATTTGATAGCCAAAAACTTGAAAGTTTTCGTCATTAAAAAAAAAAAAAAATACCTACATTATAATCCAAGATGGCGGCCCGCATGTTTTGCCTCTGCTCTTAGACCAATATTATTCATTTCAAAGTCATGAAAAGGCACAAAATATCAACAAACATGGTCTACAACAACTCCAAATGACAAAATAATTCCAGCCATGAACTTTTTTTGAGCATTTGATAGCCAAAAACTTGAAAATTTTCGTCATTAAAAAAAAAAAAAAAAAAAAAAAAAAAAAAAAATCAGCCGATTTTTTTTTGTCGCTCTTCCGATCCGATACCGATCAAAGGTGCGAGGGTGTCGCTCCGATCTTCCGATCTGATCAGAGCCCCAACTTACAGGGTTAATTGTTGGCCAATATGTTCATTAGAACCAAATTCATGACCCATACCAAAAAACATTGTATTACCTTTAAGTAGGATTGTTGGCCAATATGTTCATTTGAACCAAATTCATGACCCATACCGAAAAACATTGTATTACCTTTAAGTAGGATTGTTGGCCATGGTCCTAAAATTGTTTTTTTTTATACAGGGAGGGTACAGTGATAAATTCATCATCGGCACTTGTGTTGTAAAATCATGAGCAATGCTTTGAAATTGAGATACTAACCCTTCTCTTGTAAGGTGTCAGACCCACAGAATGATTCATAGTAAAACTTGGACAGAGAAACTGCTGATCTTGGTGCCAGAATCTTATCAACAACTTCCACAAACTGATCTTCAGATACTATTCCACAGGGTTCTTGGGACAAGCCAAAGATGCGTTCAATCAGGGGGCGACTGTATTCTGGAAAATAGTCCTAGATGAGAGAAGAGAATGATTAAGACGGAGCCTGGAGATGATGATTTGTATTCTTATCACAGTGCTTTAAATATATGTCTCAGTTACTTTGATAACATATAAACTAACTTTACATTTTGAAAATAAAATAAAATTTTCAAAAGTTAAAGTGATGAAATGCATCCCTGGAATTGGCTGGAAAGCAGTATAATCATGTTTGACTCTTTTTGTTCCTATACGATATAAACGCAATTGAATAATTATATCACCTGCAAATATGATATTATCAGAGGCCTACAATTTAGACTAAATAAGATAAGTTTTCATTATTTTGAATTTGATTACATGGGAACGTGCTACAAATTCCAAGGGCAATCAAAAGCTATTCAAAACATCCATCATCCAATTTTGTCATGCTTCATCCCCTCTGTTCCTCTAATCACTTTTCTTCCCATCAAAAAATAATTTGAATATTCCATGGTAAATTATAATATTCCATGATATCAAGACCGCATGTCTGATCAAAAATAGATTCTGTTCTATCGGAGAAGTGAAAGAACAAAAGACATTACCAAAGGAAAATAAAACAAATGCTTAAAAATACTCACCAGCAGCAGACCTGTAGTTAGTACTTGGCTGTTGCTTATTTTCTGAGCAAATGAGAGGGAGAAATTGAAAGTGTTTAAATCAAACTGAAAATAAAGTCACTGCTTCCCAGTAAAGAGTATTCTGCACATGTGAAACAGGCACAATGACAAAAAGATTGTTTGTCCTACAATGTACAGGTGTACATGTATGTCAATTAGAGGAGGCATGATAGCTCAGTTGGTAGAGCAGTGGTCTCGTAATCTGGTGACCCGGGTTTGAAACCAAGGCAATGCGCCAGTGCCCTTTGGTAAGGCATTAATCCTCATTACCAGGTCCCTCGGAGAGGACCTAAACCGTCGGTCCTCTGGTTGCTAACTTACAAGCATTTATGCTTTCTTAGCAGTCAGGTAAATCAACAACCACCACCACCAAATGTATTGAACAATAATAATAAGTTTTCCTTTTTTGCATGAAAGAGAAGAATTCAATTTTCTTTGAAATAACCTCAGCTTGACTAGAAGGGGAGAGAGACATAATTTATGGATACAAAATAACAAACACACAAAAACAAAAACCATTAAAAGGTTTTATTCATTACTATTCATATTTTCAAATGTTTTATTTCAGAACATCCTGTGGATTTGTGGTTGTAGTGTGGGTCTCGAGATTCCCTTCATCCAATACCCTAATCACCATTTGTTTAATTTTTTTTCGATCTTCCACCTTAGAGTCTGAGATAATGTGTAAAAGGCATTTGAAAATGCATCTGATTTTCTAAATAGGTTTCCCCTTGTGCTGTAGCCGAACCGCCGAACCGAACGCAAAGGCCTGGTTCAGATGTTCGGCAGAAAAATGAAAAATTCTTCACAAGCCAATTAACTTGTCACTTTGTACCTAATTTTCATGTCATACTCATTCTATATTTACGTTTTTCCCATTTTCCTTCTTTGTGATTTATGCCTCTCAACAGTGGTGGGTGCCACTTCACTGACGCCATTTAAATCCCAAATCATGACCTCTGCAATGGCGAGATCGAAAGCTATAAACAAGAATACATGTGTCTACTGTACTAGGCGCTGATCAAAACAAGTTGGCTTAGACCCAATCAATAAAAAAAATAATGTTCTTATAGTAACAATATCGCGCAAATTTTACAATATAAATAATGAAATAAATATATATTACGGTATTCTAATTCATTTATTCAGAAAAAATTAGGAATTTTTTATTTATCCTATTAGAAATAAACATTTATAAGAACAGTAATCAACGAGCCTGGGCTGCTTACTCTGTACATTGGTAAATTCAATATGGCAGCTTCCATGAATCGTTACATTAGACAACAACTGTCTCTGCATTGTCGGCAAATATTTCAAAAATATAATTTATTGCCAAATTGAAAACATGATTCTTGTAAAATTGCAAATAAAACATGATTAAAGACGGAAATATGAATGCAAGTACTACTTTTCTTCACAAATAGTAACCTTTAAAGCAGTTTTTATGTGAAATTCGTTGGAAGCAGTGATTTTCATCAGGAATGGTGGGCAGTAGTCCGCCGTGCTGGTCGGGCCCGCCCAGTGCCGACCTCCGTAGCTTTAACGCTGCTTGCTGTTATATTATTGAGCCCCGAACCGAACCGAACCAACTTCGTGTAAAAAATTGCCAAACTCTGCCGGACCGAACCAAACCCGAACATGGCGCCTGACTTACAGCACTAGTTTCCCCTTCTTCCTTCAGAAAAATTATAAGCTTCATCACAAATGAAGATTTTGATAATTTACATGAATACTATAAATGCTAGCGATCTTGAAAGACAATCAGGCCAAATTTCAAAAAAATATGTTTAGCGTCCTGCCTTTTAAAAAATAGAAAGGAGGAGGCCTTTTTTTTTTTTTCTTCTTCTTCAAAATGGCCATTCAAAATGGCCACTTGGTACATTTTTCCTGACAGTCGGGCTATTTTTCAAGATGGCCACCGGTATTTTATTTTATTTAAAAAAAAAAAAATCAGAAATAGATCATTTTAGCAGTGTTGTTTTTTTCTTTTGGACGAAAAACACCATTAACTCCACATCAACCAGCACATTCAGGAAGGCCATTGAGTATTGACAGAGCCTTCTATGTACAGTACATGTACTCCCGCGCCCTCTCTCTCTTCCGATGCGTTTATGCCCAGTAGGGCCCTGCATCGTACACATCCAGATCCAGAACTATTAAACAACACTAGTCCATGCAAAATTCACCAGAATGCACTCAAAATCAGCACTTTCGAATTGATGACATCTACATTTTGTATTAATTTATGTAAATATTGTTAAAATTCAATCGATTCAACTAATACTGGGGTTGCGACAACAACACAAAATCAATCAGAAATCAAAATGTACCGTCTCCTGTCTACTCTATGTGCCACTTTGATTTATTGGTCACAGCACTTTGGCACGTGCAAGCGCTCAAATCTCCCAGGTAACTCAACCGAGAAAAAAATTTGGCGACCTAAAAATTGGTACCTAGATCTAGAGCTACATGTATTTTGTACAAAAAAATGTCCAGACTTTATGTAAGCGTAATCCAGACCAATTTTGTTATTATTAGCGGAGTTTCCCGAAATTATTGTTGGCAAAAATATTAGCAGGATTTCTTCATACAATCATAGACTTCTAAATCTATTTGGACATGATTTTGACCTTGTAATATTATCAAAAGAAAATATCAGAAGTTCGTTCCTCCGCATTGGGCATGGTCACTCCAGCAAAGCATAGAGAGTCAATGCTAATGCGTATTGGGCTCTAGCACTGCATGCTTGCTGTGAGGCAGGTATCATTATACCCATTCACAAATGTACACACCACACAATATCGCATAGACTCTACACAATCATGCCGATGCAGCTGTAAGCAAAGTTTGACACTAGACTTACAATTCGAATTTTTTAATTATTCTTTTTAACATCAGTAAGTTAAAAAAAATGTATTTTACTGCACTTTAGGTGTCATCAATTGTCACTAAACCTAAAGTACCGATTTTGAGTGAAATCAGTTGAGTTTTGTACAGTGGTGTTTGAAATGTTGAGAATCAAAAGCACAGCTTTTACTACACAGCCAGTGATGCTCCTATGTGTGGGCAGCTGCAGCTGGCGCGTGCATAACTCCGGGAAGCTCCAACACCGGCGCCGCAGGCGTCGGAGCTTCGGGTGGTTTCGTTGTTTTCTCATGAGGGCTAGTAAAACAGCCGATTGGGTGATATTATTGTTAAATCTACAAAGGGAGTACTTACAATTTTTACATCATTGTGTGCAAGACTCCTCAGGGCTCAACTCCAATCACTTGAATGTATAATTTGATGAAGTCTTTGATGGGAAAAAAAAGGTTAATTCGGGGTACTACACCAACGATTCTTCCATGTCGCAGCGTTGATTCAAAATAGCGATGAGAAGGTACGCATGCGCGGCAGTGGCGAAGAAAATATGAATATTCATGCTATCGAGCGCCGATCGCTGGAAATCGCTGAATATGCACGACTCGAACAAACAGAGCTCTACACGTTCGTAATGGCGTTATCACAGTTTTTCCTTCATAATCATTTTTGCCTTCGGCGTAGACTAGAAGGGATGAGATTGACGGCAGCGAGAGTTTAACACGGCTTGCAAGATTTTCAACATGGATGTCCATTTTGACCCATAATTTCCTTAAAAGGGACCATTAAACGGATTATTTCAATCAAGTTAGTAAGTGGAACCGATGTATTATAGCCTAGGCCTAATGTAAAATTGGATATGCAAGAGGTAAAATGACATTTTGGGGGATTTTGGGGGCATAACAATACGGCCGTGGCAAGTTTGTTCATGTTTGTGGGAGGGGCCTAACGGCTAAAATCTAGCCGTGATATCTTCAACATAGGCTGGCATAGGCGATCGTTCAGTCTCTATAACCGGAGGTCTAGTGGAGCCAGACGTAGTCTCAGTGGAACAACCGACGGTATAGAGACTGAAGCTTTCGGTCTACTGCCGCGCATGCGTACCTTCTCATCGCTATTTTGAATCAACGCTGCGACATGGAAGAGTCGTTGGTGTAGTACCCCGAATTAACCTTTTTTTCCCATCAAAGACTTCTTCAAATTATACATTCAAGTGATTGGAGTTGAGCCCTGAGGAGTCTTGCACACAATGATGTAAAAATTGTAAGTACTCCCTTTGTAGATTTAACGATAATATCACCCAATCGGCTGTTTTACTAGCCCTCACGAGGAAACAACGAAACCACCCAAAGCTCCGACGCCCGCGGCGCCGGTGTTGGAGCTTCCCGGAGTTAGCGCGTGCACTTTGTTTTATTGTGAAGCGGTTTGCAGTGAAAGTTTTTTTTATGCAACAGATTAGATCTATATCATGCTTTGTGTGGTTTTGTATAAAATGAACTGAACTGAACTGAACTGAACTTAACTGTGTGAGTGTGAGAAAGCGTAAAGATTTAATGTCTTTTTAAGCGTAAAGATTTAATGTCTTCTTTGTTTTCAGGAAAAATGCTTGAAAGAAGATAAGAAAATCGCCACAAAACTGAAAAAAAGAAAGAATTTGAAATTATAGAATCTATGATCATTATTTCAACAATTGTTGAAGATTTAGTTAATTTTTGGTCCGTTATAATAGGGTGCTCTCAGGTCTCAACGCCCGAGTCACGGGTCCAAAGTATGGGCGCACTTGTGAAAAAGCGCCACATGGCCTCGGCCTGGGACTCCATTTTACTACACAAATACACACGAGTCGGACTGGTCTATTTTGGGTAAAAATAAAATCATTGGGGGTATGGACGTGGACAATAGTACTGACCTGATAAAAGCTTATAATTCTAATATCTTTGCTTTTACTTCCGCCAATCTGATCATCTTTACTGCTTTGTGCTCCCATTTTCCATGAGAAATCGGTAACAGGAACGTAAAAAGTATAATATTCCGGATCAATTATTCACGAAAATTGTGCAATGGGCGGCGCCATCTTTTCATGTCCCAGAATGCATCACGTTTCTCTTTTGCCCTTTCACAGTTAACAAAGTTTATATCCATGCCCGCTTTCAATAAACACCCATTATTATAAATGTTATTTTCATAAATGGTTTGTTCTTATTGAGTGATCATTATTTACAGAATTTATGTCGAAAAAATGACTAAATATTATTTGATCTTAATTTTATGCTGGAGTAAAGAACTATATGCATTCGCGTAGTGATCCCACTATGTGTGGTGATAAAACTACCATCAACAAGATGGGCGATCTATTCGATCTTGGCGATTGAGAAAATCTGAGGTCAATTTCCACCGCTAAATGTCTTGTGTATATCTATCAACATGGGTTGCTGTAAAGGAAAATGTAAACTTTCGACAAGATATATCCCTGTGACGATTGCTTACATCCTTGTCATTGGTACCTCTGGTCTATTTTTCGCGTTTCCGTGAGTATTTTACAATCTGATTATAAAATAATCGGCGACTGATTCGAGCCACTTCACTTTCAGCTGTTTGTTTTTCAATGTCAGTGTCACTGCCAAGTCTGATGTGTATTTACATGTAAACTGTGTCTGTTTGTGACTGAACCATTTCTAAATGTATGAATAGAGAAGATGTAAATCTTAGTGGGAGTAAGAGAATTGCAAAAACCATCTAATGTCTATGATCTGATACCTGAGTTGCAGACATATGAATGATGATGTAATCAGTGGGGGCGCTGGTCCGAGAATTAGGATTGTCTTAATAAACGAGGATATCCTCATAAACGGGCACAAATTATGTCCTCAAAAGTAACATTTGTCTGCAGACTTTTTTTTCATTGGGGCTCTGCAGGTTTCGGGTTGGTGATGCGAAAAACGGATCCTGCGTAAGAAAATAACTCCAGTTCACTGTGTTGTCCGTCTTATCGCTCATAATGTGGAAGTCTCTGTTCAAAGTCAATGGAAAATGCATCAAGAAAATCATCGCGGAATCCATTTTTCGCATCGCCAATGCGTGGATCGGAAATCTGAAATGTCTGCGAATATGCAGACGATCCTCACTTTGAGGACACATCTGTCCGCGTTTACGAAGTCGATCCTTAATCTCAGACGAGCGCCCGTATAATGTACCCTGAGGCCAGAACACAGAGGCAGTGGATTGAGAGTTCTCAAACTTCAAATTTTACTTTCACTTGTCAAAAGACAACAAATTTTTCACAAAGACTCACAGGGTAGGGTCTATGCGTACTTCATATTTGATTGTATAGACCTACACTGTGAATTTTTTTTTAAATCAGGATTTTCAACCAAATATTGAATTGAAATTTATAAGAATGGCTTTTAAAAGGGCTTTTACAAAAATATAAAAAATGTAAAAATTATCCAAATATAAGCTTTTAGAGATAAAATTACTTGTTTTAATTGTACAGTTTCCTTCCAAATTTGGTATTAGGACAAAAATCTGGATTATGATGGGTGTTGAGACATAAACAAAAGTAGATGATCATAAGATACTGTGAGAAAAAAAAGTGATCTAAAAAAGAACTTGGAAAAATATTTTACAGTGAAGGTTTATCTGGTTGACAAATGAATTCAGAACAGGGTTTGGGGTTCCAAGCTACAATTTTAAAGTAGTAATCTTCAGGCCAGGGTAAAATGATACCCTACAAAGTAACTGATAATGCATGTTCAAGTCTCTTTTGCTTCAAAGAATTCTTTTTTAAAAACTGTTCACTGTATGTTAAAGGTACTATGTCCCTTTTGCAGCCAACCTCAAATTCTGTAGAACTTTGCAGGAATTATGAATATGTCATGTATGTCCTATCTGTGAAATTTAAACGTTAGCAGTGTCCTAATATTCAAATTATGCAAGGAAACCCGTTTACTTGCTAGATTTAACTGTCAGACACTATTGAGTGACTGACTGGCTTTTTTTCTTCTTCGGTAATAACATACATAAAATGGGCTGTAAAGGGTACATGAGCATTTGTGTACATCAATAACCCTCTTCTTGTGATGGCCAAAATTAAACTGATTAAAGCTTTGCGCAGCATAAAACGTATGACCATTCGGTACAATGTTCTGAAAATCAAGACTACTACTTATTGGCTCTATAGCTCCTAAGTCGATTTGACAACTAATAGTCGTTATTTTCTCACTCGAAGACACTTTCAAGCCCCACCTTTTTAGGGAAGTTCTAAATTAGTATTATCTTTCAAATGCCATTGGAATTTAACCTTAATTTCATTTTTTTGGCCTGCAAACGGGACACAGTACCTTTAATGATGCATTCCTTCTCTATTTCTAAGCAAAGGGTTTGGTTTTGCTTTCTTTGTAAACCTTTATGCTGGTTGAGCATACAATGAATTCCAGGCTAGTCAGCAAGGTTTTCACATGGATACTGTAGTGGTGGTTAAAAGTCATTCACTGTGATAACATTTTACAAATGTACAATCTACACAAAATGAATGTGAAGTGATTGAAGGAAGATAAGATTGATACAAAATTCAACTTGGAAAGGGAGAGAACAGGTGTGCATAGGAACAATTATCTCTTATCAACTTTTATTCCGCAATGAATTCAAAAGCTCCACATTAGCTGAATTTGCACTGAATGCAAAAATAATTGAATTTAAAAAGAAATAAATTCTGTTGTTTCGTCCAAATTTGCTAAGCATCTACCGACTGCTTGTAATCACAAATTTATAAAAACCCAAATCGAAAAGAAAAAAACCTTGCCTCTTGATCTCTTGACTGTTGTTTTTTGAAACACCAGCAGGAATTTCACTGTTTTTTGTATTATAAATGCTCGCTCTCAAAACATTGATGAATGATTCTGGTTTGTGGTCATGTGACTCTTCTTGCTTCCTTGCTAATGCATACAGGGCATAACTCAGCCACAAAAAGCAATTATCAAACACCAACAGTTTTTCATGGGTTTTTCCAGTAGTGTAAATGACATTAGAAAAAAATCTATGGTTTTTCAAAATGTTTTTTGGTTGTGTTAATGGGCCTACTGTACATTTATTTACCATTTTGATATACACCGCGTATGTACATGTACATGTAGTCTTACTTCTTGCCATCTTTTGACCATATTTGCGACAAAAGTTTAAAACAGTATCTTTAAATATAATCATTATTACATTGTAAAGTGAAATGTTGATAATGTAAATGTATATGTCGGGTCTGATTTTAATTATTTTTTTTGGAATCACCAAGATATTTGAGGAGTGGTGCAAAGGCCCTTTGGGACTATCAATAAAATTGATCTTTAAAAAAAAAAGCCTTTTTTAAAATATAGAATACAAGTATGATAAGAGGGAATTACCATTTCTTCAGATCACCCTTGGCCATTGCATCTGTCAGCTGATTTGGGGCCTCAAATACAATTCCCTTCTTACCAATACATTTTCTTTTACCTGCAAGCTTTACACGTATGGTTGCTGCTTCTCTCATGATGTACAAAAACATCTGTTAAAGGGAGTGTAGCATGAGGAGACTGTGTGTCTTTCCTGTGGCCTGACTCGGGCCGATCAGGGATAATACGACTACAGACGACGCAACCGCAGCAGTCACGTGCGTGCAACATACCCAAAACCGAAGCGAAGCTTTGATCTGTTGCGCAAACGCTAGCGCGCGCTGACCATGTAAAGATTAAGTCGCTGACTACCGTTAATCAAGTCCATTTGTTTACGTGCAGTTGTCCAAAAAAAGGCCTAAATGGTGTTATCATTATTTGCTAAGCTACTCTCCCTATAAAGGGGCTGTAGCATGGGAAATACTGGTTGATGCCATCTAGGACTTCTTTTTTGACAACTGCATGTAAACTAATGGACTTGATTAACTGGGTCAGCATGCGCTAGCTTTTGCAAAACAGACCAAAGTTCTCCTCACGCTTCGGTTTCGCGTATGTTGCACACACGTGAATAAGTAGGCCTACTGCGGTCGCGTCGCGTACATATACACAAACACATTGATTATCCTGTACCAAATGTTGCTCATTTCCCTGAACATTTCAGGCATGTAGTATTGTTGTATCTTACATGTTTAACCATGACCAATTCAAGTACTCTCATGACTTGATCATAATATTTAATACTTCCTTTAACTTCTGAGCGTACATCTGGAAGAAAAGACAAAAATTGTAGCGCCTGGCTTTCTCATTAGTTTGCTATTTCCATAAAGTATAAGTAATGGCCCACATGCACTATGTTCGCACACAAGACCCAGCTCAGTGACAGTGACCCTACATGTAAACTCATCATTTGTAAATGTATCGACAGGAAAAGTAGCATACCACTCATGGTGCGTAATAGATTAAACGCATTAGCACTTGGTTCAGGAACAATGTAACTTATTCACACATTTGACATGGTACAACTGTATACATGTATGTGTGGGTCGTGACATGTCAACTTCGGCAATAAATTTTATAATATCATCATCAAAATGCATCAAGATGAGTTAACACCTTGCCTGTATGACATATTTTCACAATTCCACCATCATTGTTTTCACTCATATGTACATGTACATTATATCTCTTACTTGCCTTTCATAGACTCTTTTTGTTTTGCTGGTTAATCAATCATAAAGCCAATTTAATATAAGAGCCAAAAGGCATTCTCCATTGAACTGTGACATTTTCATACAGTAGCTGCATAATGTAGCTGTTTTGCTAGAACATTCTGGTTTAATATCTCGGTATACACAGTATCCAGGCCATGAATATTGTTTCCCAGATGTATCAGGCGTCGATCCAGGATTTTGTTGTGAAAGTAATAATGAAAATGGGTGAGGGGGAGGGGAGGTCTCAATTCAGGAAAAAGAAACTATCAACTCTTTTGTTGTGTACTGTACTTACATGTATGTACCGGTATTGCTTATTGGTTTCCAAAAGGGATAAAAGACTGACAGAGGTCAGTCAAAACCCCACTGTCCTACTTGTAGCTACTTGCTCCCTCTTTATAGAAAACTTCCCCAATTGGTGCCTGTAGGTCTCCCATGATCCTCTTTTTCTTATGTTAATTGAGAGCTGAGTTGATGAGATAGCCACTTGTCGGTGACCTCGCTGGGTGGTCTAATCCTTCTGGCCGAACTAATACAGACAGCCTTTAAATGCCCTGCCCTACTGTACATGTAGATCAGCCACCGGCTTACATGTAATGTACTACATGTACATGTACTTAGAATGTAATGCACAGTGTTGGTACAATGTTGTAAAAACAAAGAATCAAAAATAGATATCCTTATTTAAAAGAAGAAGAAATAAACAAATTGTTAGTATTAATGAGGGTACATGTAGAACACAACCCACCCCACACACTCTTCTACATCATACAGTGTAAATGGATTTACGAGAAAAAAATACATATATATAACTTTGCATTTTGGCTGATAAAGTAAGTTATGCTACATACATGTACATGTAAGCTGGTGCATATGCTTGATATGTTGATGTAC